AAGAAGAACTCGAATACGTATATGGAATAACACAGATATATTATAAACAGGAATATATACAGAGAAGTAGAAAATGTTAGTACGAACAATCAGGTTTAGTAGTACTTGTCTGAACGTGACTCTTTTTCGGACTGCCTCTGACTCGACTGACTGACTCGCTTTCAATGACTGACTGACAGACTCCTGACGGACCTCACTTCAGACTTCAGACTGAACAGTATTTAGTCACCCCGCCCCCCCACGAGGGAGGGCATCATGTGGCACAAGGCTGGTTTAACGTGGGATCTCCGAGCCCGAGAGGCTCGGCCGAACATATGCCCTTTGAACCCGTATAAACGGGTTCAGGGTCGGTTTACTTGCCCGAAAGAGTCCCCGCCCTTCGGCATAGCCTCGTTCGGGTTCCTCTCCGCCCGAAGGCAGAGAGTTCAACTGATCAGCCGGGCAGCCGGTCGCTCGACTTCAGACTGAATTCCCTGCTTCCTCTTGAGGCGCAGTATTTATTACGTATGAAATAGTCCATTATGTTATTATGGGTAAGTTCCCATAATATATATATATATATATATATATATATATATATATAGAGAGAGAGAGAGAGAGAGAATAGGAAAGAACTGGTTAGATAAATAATCCGAAGTTCCTTAGTATTTTAGTTATTATTTTTAAAAAATAGTGCTCGATACAAAAATATAGCATTAAAAAAAAAAAAAAATGCCGTAAAATATGTAAAACTTGGGATGACCCATGTCCTTTGTGCCTCCATGAGAAACTGCACATTATTAAGTTTCTAAATAATAATAATCTATTAAACAATAGACATGAGTTAACGGTTTTTTGTCGACATCATCAAATTCATGGTTTGAATAATTAGCTAAAAACAAGCATAATATAATAACTTTTATAATCCATAGCCTAAATAATTAGTTTAAATACCCTACAAAAAAGATAACCGTTTATGAAGTCGTCAAAAAACATTTTACGGCAGTTTTTTTTTCTTTTTGTTTTCTTTTTTTTATATGCACGAATCCCTTTCATAAAGAAATAAAATAAAAAAATAAACAAATCTCCATAGACACGTAAACCAGACTAGGCTAAAACATCTTCCGTTTCAAATTTAGACACCCCCACCTTACCCTGACTTGTCATCTATGAAAGTAATTCTATACTGATACTTATTATTAACACCCAACACACGCCTATCCAATTTAATCAATTCGCCCTAGCTGTTACCATGGAAATTTTGATTTCAATTATTAAAACACGTAAATTTCAGAAATACGTTATTCCCAAAAAAAAATTGCGCTTGAAGATTGAACAGAGCTTACTTTAACTCAATTTAATTCAAATAATTATATTGAAGTTTTCGGCTCTTGTTTTGAAACATGAGACTTCTTATGTCGCGAGTTGGAATCATATTTTTAAATAAATAATTATATATATATATATATATATATATATATATATATATATATATATAAAAAATTCTACTGTCAACTTTTCTCCTAGTGGACGGAGACCAAAATATCATACCATTTTGGAATCAGGCCGATTCCGTGAAGTAATTATGTGATTGTTTTCGGATTCCAACATCTTGTCTTCTACTAAGAAAGACAATTAAAGGGACACAACTCTCTAACTTTCAATAGCTCATATTCAAATAAAAGATACTGTTCACAAATTACAGTGTTTCAGAATAAGCTTGGCCGTGTTTTAAACTTTATTCCTCGAGACTGTAGTCCAAAATATCATATAAGTATAAATCAGACTGACTCCATAGCGAACAGGATCCGCACCAGCAATCGAAGATTTTGGATTAAAGTGTTCATTACTACGATTGTTTTCAGCGCTATTTTTCCGTGATGTTTTCCGACGATTTTTTTTATACGATAACAATTTTTATAACTTGGAAATAAACTTGGGCATAATCGAAATTAATTGCGAAATTCAGCGAAAATCACCCATGGAATAAAAAATATTTGTTTTTACGGAAAGTAAGGACCTACGCACATCGATTTATCTTTAGATTAAATGGCGACAGAAGAATTATTTTTGAACTTTTAAAAGTAAATATTAATGCAATACTTAAATGCAGCGATAAATTTTGAGTTATCCTTATAGTTTATTCTTGCCTATCGCATGTATTCATCCCTAGCTATTGCGATGAAGGCCCAGCAAAATCCATCCACAGGAGCTAGTTTAAAATCTGCCCTATAGGGTTGCTTTTAAACTAGTTTATATGTATGTACAGAGGCAGTGTACCATTCAGCGTTTTATTATTTTGGGACATTAAATTGCTCTTCAGGTTTGATTTTCTCACTTGATATTAAGCACATTTAATATATATATATATATATATATATATTAATCCATGTTTCATTAAATAATATAGACAAGTTTTGTCTACTTATTTTAAGTAAGTTCCCTTCATATTGTCTGATGAGCTTAATCGCATCATTATCGTTGAAAGACGAAAGGAAAACATCATATTGATACATGTTTCAATTCAAATCTAAACTTTCGGATTACACAAGTCATTATCAAGAAGACAATTTCAATAAATGAAACAACAACGAAAAACATGAAAACAATAAATAAAAGTTAAAAATCCTTGAAGCTATAAACATAAAACTGTTAAAACCTAAACTGAACAAAATAAACTATGAAATCTCCACAAATATCCTTAAATGCCTATAATTTTAAACAGAAACTATTGGTTTATACCAACGGCTTCCAATATTTAATACTTCTGGTTTTTCACTCTCGCGTGGTCATATCTGACGTCATGAGCTGCGACGTGATTTTCGCTTCCGCGTCACGTATATACGATGTTTGTCGTTACTTGGAAATTTTCATGCAGCAAGGGCAGACTATCATTGTTGTTTCGTCCGTTGTTGTTTGATTTATTTAATGAAACATGCATTAATGAAAAATTTCTGCCTATATATATATATATATATATATATATATATATATATATATATATATATATATATATATATATATATGTATTGATATTAAACTTATTTGACACTTTAATACATACATACATATATATATATGTGTGTGTGTGTGTATATATATATATATATATATATATATATATATATATATATATATAGCGTACTAGATTGACAACTAAATTTAATCGTTTTTACTGTTGAAATGGCTAGATCTAACCGCATGTTCTATTATAATAGTTCCTTTTCTCTCACTTTGCCTTAAGGTTACGTGCTTCTCTGCTTACGATCTTGAAGAAACTAAATACAACTTCAGTCGAAATTTTCAGACTTTTTGCGTCCTGTTCTTCTTCACTAACACCCTCTAGTTCCCACACTCAGTAAACCCCGTATCTTGGTGGCGGCATTACATTGCTTGCGATGAATTGATGAAAATTAAACAAGTAGGCCCAAATTATTTGGTAAAAACGGTAAGTATTCCATGTCCGTTGAATTTATTCATCATCCTTTCTAAACTGCAAATCACTTTTCGCAAAATAGACTATTTTTGGACCTGATCCGGGTGGACACAACCGGGGTCCCCACATTAAACTCATTTTTTGAATCAAAGTGTAGTATCTGTTCTTATCAGCTTAATCTGGTTCTCTCTCTTCACTTCTATGCTCTATTCTTTCTGATTTTCATTTGCTCAATGAAACCAAGTAATTTCTTTTACCATCTTTGCACGCGATCAAAACAAAAGAGCCAATTATTCATGAGGTAGGGGCAGGGCGTAATGGTCGTGCGAACTAACGAAATGAGGCAAGTATAATTATAACAGGATGCATTTCCCTTTGTTTAATTTTCACTGTATAACTTTGTTGATATTCTCTAATATATGAACAACAGAAAGTCATATTTTCTTTCTTTTGTTCAGTAACGATATTTTTCTTTCTTTCTTTTTCTTTCTTTCTTTCTGTTACATATCTTTCTTCTTTTCTTTTTTTTTAATTTCTAACTATTTATTTCTCCTAAAGGATAAACGCCTTTTTATTTATAATCGGTTGGAGGCTCTCTGTCTTTCTTTATTCACGGTATCATGTAGTGTCTTTCTTGCAATCTCTCTATTAATTTTTAACTACTCTCTCGCTATTCTTAATATTTCTTTATTTTTGTTTTTTACTTTTATATCTAATTCTCTCTCTTTCTCTCTTTCTCTTTTTCTTTCTTTTTTTCTTTCTTTCTTTGTGTCGTCTTTTATAAACATTACGGTCACTATCACATGTTACCATCGCTCTCTGAATTTTTATTGTTTATTTGTTTTCGTTCTTCCTTTATTTTCTTTCTTTCTTTCTTTCTGTATTTATTTCTTTCTGTCTTTCTTTCTTTCTTTCTTTGTGTAGTCTTATAAACACTGAGGTCACTATTAGTTGTTACCCTCTCTCTCTGATTTTTTATTCTTCCTTTATTTTCTTTCTTTCTTTCTTTCTTTGTGTAGTCTTATAAACACTGAGGTCACTATTAGTTGTTACCCTCTCTCTCTGATTTTTTATTCTTCCTTTATTTTCTTTCTGTCTTTCTTTCTTTGTGTAGTCTTATAAACACTGAGGTCACTATTAGTTGTTACCCTCTCTCTCTCTCTGAATTTTTATTCTTCATTTATTTTCGTTCTTCCTTTTCTTTTTTCCTTTATTTTCTTTCTTCCATTATTTCTGTCTTTCTTTCTTTCTTTCTTTCTTTCTTTCTTTGTATAGTCATTTATAAACATTAAGGTACCTTTATCGATTCCTCTTGGATAAGTTTTCTTTCTTTCATTTCTTTATTAATATTTTAAAAACCTCTCCCTTGCTTTAACATTATCTTTTACTTTCCAGTTCATTTTGGCCTTCTCTCCCCGCCTCAAAATATCCTGAATATATTTATTCTTCATCATTCTTTTTTTTTCTTCGCTTTTGCTTCCTTCCTCCTCTTCTTTCTTTCTTTCTTTCTTTCTTTCTTTTCTATTACTTTTTCCAAACTTATTTTTCCCAAAAGTCTATTATTCCCCCTTTTTCTGCCTTCTGACAACAAAGCTTCAAAGAGTATTCTATCCCTGGAAAGATATTTGCAGCATCAAAGTTACAGTTGCCTCCGCCATGATTTCAGACACATAATATAAAGACCCAAGTTTTTCTCTTGGATTCTTTACAACTACCCTCCCCACAAAAAAAAAAAACGAAACAGAAAAACATATTGTATGCACCAGATACGTGGGCGAGGCTTCATTCTTCCTGTTTCGAAAAAAAAATCTCCCTCCCCTATGCATACTTGCTTGGACAGTTATCAAGTTTGACAGTGTTTAATGCAATTTCTTTTCAATACAGAAAAGTACCCTCTTCTCATTTGCCCGACTGCAGATAATACATAATCCTGTAAAAATCATTTTTTATAATAACTGTAGTAATTAGATAAACCGCAGTTCCATCAATTAATTCTGAGAGCGTTACATAGAACACGGAATTTCAAGTCTCAATCTGATATTTCGATAAGAATAATTTTCGATGAACAAAGCTATGGAGAGTGAAGAGAAATAAGTGCTGAGTATTTGATACTAGGAAACAATAAGAATCGGGGTTCGAATTTAAAGCTGGTCGATATTTCAGGGAGCAGGTATCTTGATAATATTGGGTTCGTATCGCTGATTCCAAATCATGCACATTTGAGAAATGCCTGAAAACTACCCGACGGGTAGCCCGAAATCTTGTGAATTAAATTGGTTAGTCGCAACTGTCCAGAAGCCGTGGATGCTTGGGGCAGCATAAATTTGCCGAGGGTTTTAGCGTGCTTGCCTTCTTAAAACTGTTAACCATGTAAATGCTATATCCCTAATTTAACAAAGAAATATGCTTTAGGAGACGTACAAATGATAGCAGAAGCAATCCATATAATGAAAAAAATTATTTTTAATACTAACAACGCTACACAAAAAATAATTTCTCCATTCCTATAACAATTGTGCATTGACGACTACACAGCTATGAGACCCGGGTTCGAGCTTATAAAAAGTCGTTTTTTTTCAGATTGTTGGCGTTGATAATACTAGACTGAAGAGATGATCTTTACTTGCGGTGTCATCGTGGAGTGTCGGAAAACCATTCCACTCTTCGGCACATGGTTTGTGAATGAAATTGGTTAGACGAGACTTTTCGGAACCCATCGATTGTAGTGCCAGCACAAAGTCACGTGTCATCTTAAGTGAAGGGTTCAGTGTACTGGTATAGGGGCAGTATATAGCATAGATTGGATATTTTGCTTGTGAAGCAAGACAAATGAAGCAAATAACCAGGTATTTCTCGTGGAAGTTGCCGGTGTTTGATACGTGATCAGAAATCAGTATTAAGTATGTTGATTTACAATGCCTTTCTTGATCGAAATATGGTCGCAACTGAATTACGCGTATTACCGTGCGATACAAAGTTAAGACTACCAAATAAGCGTTTTTGGTTTCTCACGGGTGTTTTAAGTATTTCAACCAAAGCAAGGCGGGAGTGCCACTATCACGCAAGCGGTTACAGAGATTGAGAGCAAGAGTAGAGAGAGTGTTTGAGAAAAGGATATAGAGAAGGACGGAGATCAGGATCAAAGCATCAAAAAATATTGATTGACATTACATTTGAATATTTGAAGATTATAGATACCAGAGAAGTAAGAAGGAGAGAGGGAGTTCCACTGTCGTGAAGTGCGGGGGAAGAAGCTGTTGGAGTAGAAGAGGCAGTTGCATTAAAAAATTTTCAATAGTGAAAGGGCGGAACCGAGATGCCAACCTAGTAATCACGCTTAAATTCATACAGTTGGAGCACCATTAAAAGTAGCTCGTCAGAGCAGTTGCCATGAAAATATTTGTAGAAAACACAGAGGGGAACCACATCACGTCTGTTAGAATGAAACTGTAGACGAGATGACAGAGGCGTCTTTGTCACTCTAGACGGGGAACAGAAACAGCAATACGCTTGCTATGATGATCGTGATAAACTAAGTATATTAGAAAAGTTCAGAGAACTCACATTCACTGAGAGAAAGAGAGAGATAGAAATAGAGAAAGAGAGAGATAGAAAGAGAAGAAAGAGATAGAAAGAGAGAGATAGAAAGAGAGAAAGAGAGAGATAAAAAGACAAAAAGAGAGTTTGTGTGTGTGTGTGTGTGTGTGTGTGTGTGTGTGTGTGTGTGTGTGTGTGTGTGTGTGTGTTTCTACTTAAAGCGTTTAATCCATAAAAAAACTAGGTTTCATAGTGCAATTTAGTCAGGGATCAGAAATCATCCTTTTGTAATAGTTTATCATGCAAAATATCTACGGATATCACTTTTCTTTATTAAATAATAGACCGATATTTTGTTTAAAATATAAATTCCTCGTAAATACATCTTTCCATGTTAGAGAAATCTAAAGATTTTCAGTCCCTGTTATCTCTCAAAATTAACATTTTTTGTCATCTATTACGATTGATTAAAAAATCTGCAAATTCTCATTCCGAACGAATATATATTACTGATGCTAAAAAAATACCATGCAAAAGTATTACCGTAATTCCCCATGTATAATAGGTCTTCATACATTATACGCTCATATAAAATTGTGCTGAAAGTGTAGGAATATGCTTCTACTACGCACCCCTTTTTTGGTAATCAAACCCTATAAATTGTACCTCTCCAATTTCATTAATGCCAGCGTTTCCTACCCTTATTTAAAAAAATAGTTTTAAACATTGAATAATATTATTCTAATTATGTTTTATGATCATTTTTATTTTATTTTAAGGCAACTTTTAAAAGTTTTTTGTAGCTGTGCATAATACGCATCCTTGATTTTTTTTAGAAAAAATGTATATTATACATGGGCATTTACGTTAGTTCACCAGCGTAAATTTCACGTTTCAAATCTCTTCTCAAATTTAAAAATGATATTTGTTATTAAAGAAAGTTAAAACAGAGTCAATGTATCAAGTTAGTAATTAGTGTTGTTACTGATTTGCGAAGAACTCTCTCACTTCGATGTGGCATTGAATAGAACAAGGTTCATATTATCAGGAAATTTTCCCTGTCTTCTTGGAAGAGATTTCAAAGTTCTTAGGGTTTGCGTTGTTTCTGTTGAAGCACCTTTACTTCCGTTTCCATTGCAATGTCTCAATTATATTGAAATCGGAACTTTGTCTTGGCCATTCTTCCAAAAGCTGAATATATTCATTTACAAGGAACATTTTTATTGGACGTGATATTTCGTAATTTATTTTCAGTCTTCGTTCCTCCCTCCTATAGCATTTTTAATTTTTATGCATTTCTTTCGTTCAATAGTTATATATTTTTATATGTATATTCCTAGTAATGTTTATTAAATCTTTAAAAAGTTTAAATGAATATATACAAAATATAATACATATATACCTGTACAAATACAATAATAAATAAATGTTTATTAAAATTTTGAATTCTTCATATACTGCTAAAGTAACATTTACATATTTTTCGTTACTAGTCTGCTTTCATTATAAGTTAAAAACTGCTAAGTTTATTTTCTGATTCAAATATATTTTCCTAGTCCACCTTGTTCTCCTCAGCGCATTAGCATTTTTGAGCGCATAAAAATCTGGTTAGCTAGTAAAGAATTTTAAAATGAAGCCAATCGCGAAGCTATATGTAATGGCAAATAACTTTTTATACATTGTTTAAATTCTCTAAATAATTGGGTATTGCGTCACACATGTTTCCATAAAAGTATAGATAAAAATGCACAAAGGTTCGCACGAAAATATTTATATGACCCCAAATTAAGACATGTGGTGAGTTGTACATATTTGGTGAAGAGCATTATGCGCCCAATCGTATATATGTATACGAGTTACAATTGGTGCTTTATTTGTTGAATATATGTATAAGAAGGCTATACATTTTACTACCATACCACTTTATAAAGAGTAAAATGGTAGGATAGCAGAAACTACGAAGATTTTGCTGTAACTATGCCTCTCAAGTAACAGGGAATAAAGAAAAGGGTTCTAATGGAGAGTCAATAACATCAGGGTCCTAAATAGGCATGATATATATATATATATATATATATATATATATATATATATATATATATATATTGGAAGGATTGTCTGGCTCTCTAGGTTTACCTAGGTATACTCTACTCAGTGTATTGAGCACTTTATTTAGTTATTTTGCTTACACGTATCGGGTTTTTTTCTTTGGGCCTTGGACTTGCATGCTAGACGATTATTTTCGGCAAACGTACATGTTTTTTCGTTTTTGATGCCTTTTTTCCGCTTTGGTATTAGTTTGATTATTTGCAAATCAAGACACCGAAGGTTTTCAGAACGAGTGTTGATTCTTATACTTATAAGATTTCTAATAATAATAATAATAATAATAATAATAATAATAATAACCTTGAAAGGACCTTGAAATAGAAATCTCGAAAATGTGGCATATGGGAACATCAACAATCCATGTTGTAGTTGGAGCCCTAGGTCTGGTTGGAAAAGATTGCAGTAGACTAATTGAAGGGATTCCTTGAAGCCCTTGCCTTAAAGAAATGCAAAAAAATGTTCTCACAAGTACAGTCTACACTTTACGAAAGTCTTTATCTATGTAATATATATATATATATATATATATATATATATATATATATATATATATATATATATATATAAATAAAATAAAAAAAAAAAATTGTCGTGATGCCATTTCTAACCTTAGGTCCATGGGCGGGACCCGGAAAGAAATGTGTAATCGCCAGAGATCAAAGAAAATAATAACATATATATATAGAAATGGACAAAGTCCGACAATTTATTTATTAAAGACATTTTTATGTTTAACGTTCTTTTTTATAGATACAAGTATTTAAGTAAATGCTCTGTTTATAATAAACAGTTTTAAATAACATTTACCGGCCTGAATGTCCGAGAAATAGAAAATATTCGTCCTTTGACAGGATTCGAATCTGCATCCTATACGGAACCGTCATTTACGCTGACGTGCCTAACCTTTCGGCCACAGGAGCGTTCGGTAGGCAAGGTCGA